AATGAGCTTGGTATAATACTATTAACACAGATACAGGCCTTAGTTTGATTTTATCAGATTTAACGTGCACTTTTTAAAAAAATTTTTATTTTATTGATTATGCCATTACAGTCATTCTATTCCCCCCTTCATTCCCCTCCACCCTGTACCTCCCCATCCCCACCATTCCCCCCCTTTAGTTTATGACTACGTGTCTCAAGTTCTTTAGATTCTATATTTCCCCTGCTATTCTTGCCCTCCCCCCTATCTGTTTTCTACCTACCATCTTTGCTACATATTTTCTGTACCTTCTCCCCCCTTCTCCTCCTCCCCCTCCCCTGTTGCTAACCCTCCATGAGATCTTCATTTCTATGTTTCCGTTCCTGATCTAGCCGTCCTTTTAGTTTGCTTTTGTTTTAGATGTGGTTGTTAATAACTGTGAGTTTGCTGTCCTTTCACTGTTCATATTTTTTATTTTCTTAGATAAGTCCCTTTAACATTTCATATAATAAGGGCTTGGTGATGATGAACTCCTTGAATTTGATCTTATCTGAGAAGCACTTCATCTGTCCTTCCATTCTAAATGAAAACTTTGCTGGATAGAGCAATCTTGGATGTAGGTCTTTGGTTTTCATGACTTGGAATACTTCTTTCCACCCCCTTCTTGCCTGTAAGGTCTCTTTTGAGAAATCAGCTGACAGTCTGATGGGAACTCCTTTGTAGGTGACTGTCCCCTTAGCTCTTGCTGCTTCTAGGATTCTCTCCTTCATTTTAATCTTGGCTAATGTAATGATGATGTGCCTTGGTGTGTTTCTTCTTGGGTCCAACTTCTTTGGGACTCTCTGAGCTTCCTGGATTTCCTGGAAGTGTATTTCCTTTGCCAGATTTGGGAAATTCTCCTTTATTATTTGTTCAAATAAGTTTTCCACTGGTGGCTGTTCCTTTCCCCCTTCTGGTACCCCTATAATTTGGATGTTGGAGCATTTAAAGATGTCCTGGAGGTTCCTAAGCCTCTCATTTTTTTGAATTCTTGTTTCTTCATATTTTCCTGTTTGGTCATTTTTTCCTTCCTTCTGGTTCACTCCCTTGATTTGAATCCCATTCTTTTCATCACTATTGGTTTTCTGTGCAATTCCCTTCATTTCAATTAGTGTAGCCTTCATATGTTCCTCTAATTTGTGACTAAAATCGACCAGTTCTGTGAGCATCCTGATCACCAGTGTTTTGAACTGTGCATCTGAAAGTGTTGCTATTTCTTAGTCGCTTAGAGTTACGGGCTCTGGGGCTTTGAGATCTTCTTGAGCCAGTTTTGGTTTGTTCGCGCCTGTTAAGAATGAGGACCGGAGCCTTAAGGCAGGGGTGGGGCCACCAGGGCGGGGTCTCTGGGTTGTGACGCTGTATTTAGGGATGGGGTCAGAGCGGGGAAATGGCATTCCCCTCTCTGCTGCCTCCCACCGCTGGGGACTGCTCTGTCCGTCTCACTGCCCAGTCCCTTGCTGGTCTATCTGCGCAGGAATGCGCCACCACAGTCAACCCGCTGCCCTGCGCCCTCGCTGGGTCCACAGGTTGCTCCCTGGGTCACTCCCTGGGTTGCTCATTGGGTCCGCCCTTTGCAACCCCATGCCTGGGATTCATGCGCCTGAGTCCGTCTGACCGAGTTTTTCTGTGTAACCCCGCTCTACCAGCTGCTGGCTTCGCCCCTCTTACCGGTCAGGCTGAAGAATTTGTTGTTATCAGACTTCCGAAAAGTTCAATTTTCTGTGTTCTGGCTGTGTTTTCTGTTGCTAATATTTAGTTGTCTCTAAACTTGGTTGTGTGAGAAAGCACGGCGTCTCCACCTATGCCTCCATCTTGGCGGAAGTCTAACATGCACTCTGTGAGTTGTGTGTATTTATAATTATATGAATTTTTATCATGTGTTTTGAAGTGTGCTTTTTAATAATTCTGCATCTGATTTTGAAGATTTTGACAGTGTTATAAAATATTTAGGGCCACTTTAATACTACTTTTCAAGTTCATGGTCTCCCACATTTATATATGACTAAACTGAATGGGCTACTCTATTATGTTTTTATTCTTCTGCCTAGGTATTTTTAAGTATATTTTATTGATTATGTTATTGCAGTTGTCCCAGTTTCTCCCCCTTCACCATCCTTTGCCTGTTACATACCTTCCCTGCAGCAATACCTTGCTTAGCTCATGTTCATGGTTCGTACACATGTTCTTAGGCTTCTCCATTTCCTATACTATTCTTAACATCCCTCTGCCTATTTCATACCTACCATTTATGCTTTTTAACTCCTGCACCTTCCCCCCCACTCACCTTCTTCCCCCTCCCAGCTAATAACCTTCCAAATGATCTCCATACCTATGATTCTGTTCCTGTTTTGGTTGTTTGCTTAATTTTTTTTCTTTTTCTAGATTCAGTTATTGATAGTTGTCAATTTATTACCTCTTTATTGTTCATCATTTTGATCTTCTTTTTCTTAAATAAGTTTCTTTAACATTTCATATAATAAGGGCTGGGTGATGATGAACTTTTTTTTTAGCTTTACCTTATCTGGGAAGCACTTTATTTGCCCTTCCATTTTAAATGATAGCTTTGCTGGATAGAGCAGTCTTAGATGTAGGTCCTTGCCTTTCATCACTTCGAATATTTCTTGCTGGTCCCTTCTTGCCTGCAAAGTTTCTTTTGAGAAATCAGCTGGTAAGTTTTATGGGAATTCCTTTGTAGTTAACTGTCTTCTTTTGTCTTCCTGCTTTTAAGATTCTCTCTTTAAGCTTTGGCATTTTAATTATGATGTATCTTGGTGTGGTCCTCTTTGGGTCCAACTTCTTTGGGACTTTCTAATGCTTCCTGGGCTTGCATGTTTATTTCCTTCAACAAATTAGGGAAGTTTCCTTTCATTATTTTTTCAAATAAGTTTTCAATTTTTTACTTTTCCTATTCTCCTTCTGGCACCTCTGTGATTCAGATGTGGGGATGTTTAAAGTTGTCCTAGAGGTTTCTAAGCCTCTCCTTATTTTTTTAAACTCTTGTTTCTTCATTCTGTTCTGGTTGAATGTTTATTTCTTCCTTCAGCTCCAAATCATTGATTTGAAACTTGGCTTCCTTCCCTTTACTGTTGATTCCCTGTAGGTTTTTCTTCATTTCACTTAGTGTAGCCTTCATTTCTTCCCTTATGCATTTGCCGTACTCATTGAGATCTTTGAGCATCCTGATCACCAGTGTTTTGAACTCTGCATCTCTGTTCTATTTAGTTCTCTTTCTGGAGTGGTGTTCTGTTCTTTCATTTGGACCATATATTTTTGTCTCCTCAATTTATCAAGCTCCCTGTGTTTGTTTCTGTGTGTTAGGTAGAGCTGCTTTGACTCTCTGTAAAAGGCACCTGTAAATTGTGTGGGGTGGAACCTTAGGCAATCTCCAGGGTGGGGCAACCTGCTTCACTGCTTTGTGGCTCTGTGTAGGGGAAGGGCTCAGAGAGGGGACTTGCCTCTTCCTAGCGTCTGGGGGTTTGCCAGCACTTGCCCCATTTCCAGTCACTTCACCCACTCCCTGTATGCAACTGGCACCCTATCAGTTCTTGCCCTGATGTTGAACCCCAGAGAGGGTGTTTTCATACATTTTAAGACCACAGGGGTGTTTAAGCAGATGTTTAAGCAGAGTTTCCTGTCTGGCAGTTTCTTCTGCTGCCCCAACCATTCCTGTCTTTTATAGCCAGAAGGTATAGGGATTTATCTTCCCACCGCTGGAACCCAGGGCTGTGTGCTCTGGCCTGGGGATGGGATTGATTACTTCCAAGGTATCCCTCCCAATTTTTACCCACCAGACATGAGTGTGGGACCACTCTTGCCCATTCTGCCACCACTGCCACCACCACCTCTTTGTGCCGCACAGCACCTCCTCACCCCTCCGCCCTGTCTCTGCATCTCCACACCCCCAACCCATCTGGATGAATATGGCTTCTTTAAATCATTGATTGTCAGACTTTCATATGGTTCAATTATCTGACAGTTCTGGATATTATTTGTTTTGAGATTTTTAATTCTTCTTGTGTTTATGTGAGGAGGCAAAGTGTTTCTACCTATGCCTCTATCTTGACCAGAAATATTCTGCATAGGTATTTCTTGTAGCTGTTCTACATCAAAGATGCTGTTTTAAAATTTTATCAGTTAATATATTTATTTTTAGAAAGAGAGGAAGAGAAACAACAATGTGTGGTTGCCTTTCATGTGTCCCCAACTGGGGACCTGGCTGGCAACCTGGGCATATGCCCTAACAGGGAATCAAACCCAGTGACTCTAGTTCACAGGCCAACACTCAGTCCACTGAGCCACACCAGCCAGGGCCCAAAGATGCTTTTTAAATCTTAACAAGTATTGACAGTTCAAATTACTTACCAGGTCTTAATTTTTTTATTTTAAAACCAATATATTACATGTTATTTTTCCTACCTAACCCTTTTGACTACTTAACCTTCATGTCCTTTCTAATAGCAAAATATTTCTTGGAGACTATTAATGGGGTTATAAAGTCTCTTCCTTGGTCTGTGCTGCCCTACTAATTAGAAATATATTTTTGGCAAATAATTTACCTGTAGTTTCAGAATTGGGAAGGATAATGGGTGGGAAGGAGATGAGCTAAGTTCTTTCACATTCTTGATTCATCCTTTTAAAAATCAAACTTCTAAAGGTTTTAGATATTCTGTTAACTGTATTATTTTACTAAAAGCCTACCTTATTTGTTTTTATATACTGTGGCACATATTTGTCTTTTAGTTGTTTATGGACCTTCTAAAACAAAGTGGTCAAGTTAATCTTATAGTTTAATTTCTGCTATGTGTATTCTATATATACTTACATATGTGTTCTATGTGATTACATACACACTTACATATTGCTAATGTTTAAGGTGATAATTGATGTTCTTCATTAGGATGCTGGATTAATATCTAGGCCTATGTGTGACAGCTGAAGTAAAACCAAGTTCTTTGTGAACATATTTGATACACTTCTTTCAGGTTCTGAGTTCTGTCCGCACAGAACAGGATCCCCTGGATGTTCGCTTTGGTGCCAGACAGACTTGCCAGGTGTTGACAGTGGAGCACTCCATCAGTGTAGACAAAGAGCCCATGGCTGACAGCTGCATCTATGAATGTGTTCGGAACAAAATTCAGTGTGTCTCAGTCACCAGAATACCACTAAGATCCAAGGCCATTAGCTGCTGCAGGAATGTTACTGAAGACAAACTGATTCTGGGCTGTGAAGATTCTTCAGTAATTCTTTATGAAACTCATCGTAGAGTGACTCTCTTAGCCCAAGCTGAACTTTTGCCTTCAATAATAAGCTGCCACCCAAGTGGCACCATTCTGCTAGTTGGCAGCAACCAAGGAGAGCTGCAAATTTTTGATATGGCTCTGTCCCCTATTAACATCCAGCTCTTGGCTGAAGACCGCTCACCCAAGGAGACTCTACAGTTCAAAAATTTTTTTGATGTTTCCAGCAGTCTTGTTCAAATGCAGTGGGTGGCTCCTCAGGTTGTTTCTCAGAAGCCTGAAAGTGGGGACATCTATAATCTCCTCTTCCTCAGGTTTGACAGAGGACCGTTGGGTGTACTTTTGTTTAAACTTGGTAAGTCAAACAAGTTGGTAAGTAAATTAAAGTGTGTATAGTGGTGATACTATAATTAAGACACTAAAACAATTTTTGGTATGTAGATTACCTTTTGTCATCCCATAAATAGGCTTCCTTTCAAACATGTCATATCATTTCCTTAAAAATGCTTTGTGGATAATTTTCTAAATGTCAAGGGTCATTCTTTAATACCATTGGGTATGATATTGATGAATTTAGAAATTGCAGTAAGTATCCATCGTGATGAATAAAAAGCCTGAACTTTCACATTTGATACTTTCCAAAATAAACTGTCTACCAAAAAATTCCTTTAGATGTAGGTATGTGAATATGTTATTTTTATGTAGATAAATATATGTATGTAAATATTTTTATTTATTTTTCTCCCCTTTATTCTCCTCCACCCTGTATCCCCCACCAGCATTCCCTTCTGCCCCTTGGTTCATGTCCATGGGCCATACTTATACGTTCTTTGGTTTCTTCATTTCCTACCCATTCTTGACCTCTTCCTGTCTGTTTTGTACCTTCTGTTTATGCTTCTTACTCCCTTTACCTTTTCCACCACTGCACCCCTCCCTTTCCCCGCTGATAGCCCTTCATGTGATCTCCATTTCTGTGATTCTGTTCCTGTTCTTAGTTGTTTGTTTAGTTTGTTTTTGACTGTTACATTCAGTTGTTGATAGTTGTGAATTGGTTGTCATTTTACTGAACATAGTTTTGATCATCTTTTTCTTAGCTAATTCCCTCTAACATTTCATATAATAAGGTCTTGGTGATGATGAACTCCTTTAACTTGACCTTATCTGGGAAGCACTTTATCTGCCCTTCCATTCTAAATTAAACCTTTGCTGGATAGAGTCATATTGGATGTAGGTCCTTGCGTTTCATGACTTGGAATACTTCTTTCTAGCCTCTTCTTGCCTGCGAGGTTTCTTTTGAGAAATCAGCTGATGGTCTTATGAGAACTCCTTTGTAGGTAACTGTCTCCTTTTCTCTCGGTGCTTTTAAGATTCTCTCCTTATCTTTAATCTTAGACAACTTAATTATGATGTGACTTGGTGTGTGCTTCCTTGGGTCCAACTTCTTTGGGACTCTCTGAGATGGCTGGACTTCCTGGAAGTCTGTTTCCTTTGCCTGATTAGGGAAGTTCTCCTTCATTATTCATTCAAATAAGTTTTCAATTTCTTGGTCTTCCTCTTCTCCTTCTGGCACCCCTGTGATTCCGATGTTGGAACATTTAGAGTCGTCTTGGAGGTTTCTAAGCCTCTCCTTATTTTTCTGAACTCTTGTTTCTTCATTCTGTTCTGGTTGAATGTTTATTTCTTCCTTCTGCTGCGGACTGTTGATTTGAGTCCCAGTTTCCTTACCTTCACTCTTGGTTCCCTGTATATTTTACTACTTTATTTCATTTTGCATAGCCTTCCCTTTTTCCTCTTTTGTAACCATACTCAACCATTTCTGTGAGCATCTTGATTACCAGTGTTTTGAACTCTGCATCTGATAAGTTGGCTATCTATCACTTAGTTCTATTTTTGGAGTTTTAATCTGTTCTTTCATTAAGGCCATCTTTCCTTGTCTCACATACCTGTTACATAGTAAGGGGTGAAGCCTTAGTTATTTGCCAGGGTGTGGCAACTCATGTTGCTGCATTGTGGCACAGTCTGAATGAGTGTTTCTTCTTTAACTCCTTGGTTGTCAGACTTCCATACAGTTTTATTTTCTGGAAGTTCTGGTTATTTTTTGTTCTTAAATTTGTCATTGTCTTTCTTTTGGTCGTGTGAGGAGGCCAAGTATAGCTACCTACACCTCCATCTTGGCCAGAAGTGCTGGTATGTGAGTATTTTAAAAGCACTTAATATGTCCATTAAAAAATTATTTGTAGGACCATAATAGTTTTTTATTAAAATGATTTTAGATTATAGGCGTACATTGCTTCTTAGATTGGAATTGTGTAAAGCAAGTGTTTTAAAAGAAGAGAGAGCATGTTTAATTACCATTTGATAAAGATATTTTTACATTTTTGTTTCCCTTTTAGCTAAAAATATTCAAAAGGATTCATTAGTATTACAAAAGTTATGTATTCATATAGCTCATTTCAACCAGGAAGCTTTAGAACACAATTTCATTATTATGATATATTTGCCTGTTGTAGGTTTGCGTTACCAGCTATACCCTGGAATATATGATATTCTTTAGGCAGTCTTGTATAATTTTTAAAATGTTTTTAAGGATTTTATTTATTTATTTTTAGAGAGATGGGAGGGGGGAGAAAGAGGGAGAGAAACATCAATGTGTGGTTGCCTCTTGTGCACCCCCTGCTGGGGACCTTCCTGCAGCCTAGGCATGTGCCCTAATCAGGAATGGAACCAATACCCTTTGGTTCTCAGGCTGGCACTCGACCACTGAGTCAAACCAGCCAGGGCTTAAAATTTTTGGTAGAATCTCTCCCAGGTTTTAAAAAGCAGATTTTAATTAAGGCACATTATTACTTGAAAACTTAGAAAAGTAAATCCATTTAAAAACTCCTTACAGGCTTTGATTCAGTGGTAAAAAATTAAGTTTTTGAAGACATTGTAGTGTTTATTAAATAGCTCTCAGTTTACTTTGTTGTTTTATGGATCTTTTTGCCTCTGAAATTGAACACATGAAATAAATTTAGTGAAAATTTTTTGATTAACCTGAAAGATGTGAATATAATGTGGGGGGTGTTTTTTTTACTACATAATAAAAATGCAACTAAATCTATTCATAATGTTAATAGTATCCAAGGGAAAAATGTTTAGAATCTCATTTGTTATGAAATAATCCAGTTGCACTTTGTCCTACTGCATTTTTAACAGTTATATGTCTTCATACACAACAGTCATTAAAGTGGATGTTAGATGTTTTGCATGTCTGTTAACACACACACACACACACACACACACACACACACACACCACCCCCCCACCCCCATAAATTACCCACTTACCTGTCAAACAGAAGGCTGTCTGCCCACATATACCTAGCTTTTCTTCAGCCCTCCCTTGTGGGCCTACTCACAACAGCTTTGCAAAAAGCACAGCTTTCTGTTCCTATCTCTAGCACATTTGCCTTCTTACTAAAGTAAACAGGCTCTCAGTGTAGGGCTTTAGAGGGCTTCCTGCTAATTGCCAGCTTGTAAACTTAATTGGACTGTCTCCCTGGGCACTATTCCTAAATCAATTAGGCAATGAGTTGGCTGTCACCTCTTTCAAAGAAGGTCTCTTGGAAAAGAACTATCCAATAGAAGTCAAGTGTTCAAATGAAAAGGTGATAACTTCTGCAACTGACATTTATCATTTAAATTTTATTTTCAATATGACTCTTACATTTTATAGAATAGGGAAAATTTACAGCCTTGCAGACTCTTTAAAAGATCTAAATATTTTTAATCTCATGATTTTTAAACTGTTATTAAACTAATGTTTATTACAGATTATTTTTTCTCTAGGAATAGTCGATTTCTTGAAACAGTAGATTCCAATTAACAGATCTTTTAATTTTTTAAAAAAGAAAATCTTGTTTAAAGGACAGATTTTTCTTAGGATCTGCTACTAAATACATCCAAAAATTTTAATATACTTCTCGAATTAACACAGTGCTGATTCTGGGCAGCCATGTGGAATTTTCATGTATAATTCAAGTTACTGCATATATAAACAGGTAGTTACATGTGCAGTTTCCCTACTGGGGAGCTTTATGAGATTTTTTTTCATGTGCTTGTTATGCAAGGCTTTGGAAAACTTGACATGAAAGGTGTAGCTTACAATTTAAGAAGCTGAGATAGATCATAGTTTAAAATAGAATGCTGTCATATGTAAACGTGGCAGTGGCTGGTGCCAGCATACTAAGATTTCTGGAGTTTGACACTTCAGAATAGGTCAGTTCGTATAATGTTGAAAGAAAACTCTGTTCCAAGGCTAGAGCATCCATTCTAAATCCTTATAAATCATCAGTTAAATGCATTGGGGATTTAAGGGCCATCACTACTGTTACTAGAATTGAAAGAATATGTCCTTTTCAGGAAGAAGCTAGGTGTCATCCTCCCATTTAGAAGCCAAGAAGCACTATTTTATACAAAGCAATATGCAATCAGAATTTCTTTATCTGATACAGTCACTATCCCATATGTCCACATTTGTAGACTGAGATTAATTTTTTTTTAATTTTAACTTTTTAATTGATTATGCTGTTACAGTTGTTCTATTCCCCCTTTCATTCCCCTCCACCCTACCCCCCCATCCCCACCATTACCCCCCTTTAGTTTATGACCATGTGTCTCAAGTCCTTTAGATTCTATATTTCCCATACTATTCTTGCCCCCCCTTCTATTTTCTATCTACTGTCTATGCTACTTATTTTCTGTACCTTCTCCCCCCTTCTCCTCCTCCCACTCCCCTGTTGCTAACCCTTCATGTGATCTTCATTTCTATGTTTCCACTCCTGATCTAGATTAATTTTTTAAAAAGGAGTTCCTAATTATACCACTGAGATATTAAAATTTTTCTATTTTCATCAGTATCTTTTATAACCCATACCCCTCTCCTTAAATTAACATGATCAGCTTCCTGCCCCCTCAACAGAATTTTGCCTTTTAATAGGCTCTTCACTAAGTTTATCAGCTTTTTACCACCCACTCACCCATCCATCTACTCAACAAACCAGTCAGCCACTCATGTACATTTGCATAAATCCTTCCTTCTGTATTCACTGGAAGAGGAGCCTTTCCTCTTGTCCAAGACTAGTTCCACCGGTACTTTTACTTTGAATCCTACAACATTCCCTTTGACACCTTAACTTTGTGTCCCTCCCCCCTCCTCCCAAAAATCTTGCTACATCAGCAGATACAGGGCCAAACCATACCATAAAACATCTCTTCCTTACAATTGTTTCCCTTCTGTTACTAATCAAATAAATGTTCACCTTCCTTTTGTAGTCAGACTCAGTGGAATATCAGTGAACACTGACTTTCTCTG